TCTGAATGAATTGAAGGTTATGATGGTGTCTATGATTAAGGAAACTGTATCATCTTTTACAGATTTGGATATTCATTATGTTGATGAGAATGTTGAATATGAACTGAAGGGCTTGAGAATGAATGCATCTGACTTGTTACCATCACATGTTAAAATGTCTGGTCACTCTGTTACAGACATTGATTATAGTGAAGATAAGCTTGCTGATAGTCTCCAAGGAACTCAATCAACCCTTGTATTGCACTTGAGTGGAATAGTATTCCACTTTAAGGATGTTCAATTTTGGTTCAAGAGATTCTCTTTCCCACAACTCTCTGATGAAGGTTTATTGAATATTGATACTGGAGATGATGGTGTTATGATTCACTTGAAGATTAATGTTGATACATCCACTAATGAACTTGGTGATACTGAATGGTTCAAATACAACTCTATCACTGTCGATATTGATGACTTGAAATTGAAATTCACTCATGCAGAACATCACGAAATTCTGTTGAGAGTTTTATCTGGTTACATTCAGAATAATGTTAGAAGAAGACTTAAGGATCAATTACAAGACATGTTGCAAAATTACATGGTTGATGGATTGCAAAGATTGAATCATCTTTTGGAACAATCAAGTGAAAATATCAATAGATTAGGAGATCAATGGGCACAAAGTAGCGGTATCAGAGAATTGGTTTCTGGAGGTGAAGGTATCACTGACACTGTCAGTAGAGTTGTCTCAAATCAACTTGCTGGCTTTGAAGAATTGTAAATATCTCCATAATTGTAGAGAGTGACTATTTTGTGTTGTAATGGCTGTTAAATATTAATATTTATAAATTAAACAATTTTATTTAGAGATTTTTATGTGTTTCAAAGAGAATATTGATTCGAATAACATTCTCCAATAATATTAATTTAGAATTGGTCATCACTGATTTCACTCAATCTTAAGGTACCAAACAAATAATCCCACAAAGGAATGTGTTCAGAGAAATTATATTTGAAATGACGATGATGGACAGCGTGTGCCTTGAACGAGTAGAAATATGGAATCTTAACCTTTCTTCCACTGTGATTCAATTGAACAAAGAAACTAATATACAATAAGAAGAGACAAATTGAACTGACTGGCAATGAGAAGAACATCATTTGACCAACAGCAAAGTAAGCCACCAAAGTTCCCTCAAAGGCATCACCATAAATTCCATCACAGATTCCTCTTGGTGTATTATTCTCGTGATGCCACTTGTGAATATGAATATACATCCACTTATTAACGTGGCAACTTCTATGGAAGACATAGATTAAAAAGTCATAGATAAGTACCTGCTGGGCAACACACCACAGAACTGTGATAATGTACTTGGACATTTCCAAGAAACTCATTTCGAATATATTGGATTCATAACAAGAACCATAGTATCTAGCATAGGCAATTGTAAAAGTTGTCAGCAGAGCGCTCAAGAAGTGATTCACAGCATATGAAAGGAGAACGTAATGAGTTGTCTTATTCTTGAATTGTTTCTTATATTCTACAGCAGGCCACAAATAGGAAAACCATTGTGAAAGAACGGAAACAGCCATGGAAGCCAGGAAGAGCACTGTTGGTACCCAAATCCAATAGTTCATAGTTGGACCACTTTCTAACAAGCCATAATCTTCAGGTTTCGTAAAGTACATTTGAGATTAGTTTTGAATTGTGTTTGTTTTTTTCAGTATTATTAATAAAATGTTTCAAAATTACTGGTCAACAATTCATGAGAATTATATGCCACTTGTGAATTATGATGCAGTTTTGGCAGGACACAACTTAGATGAAAATTAAATGCCCTTTCGAATAAAAACCCATTCATTGAAGGAAGTCGCTTTAGTGCGGGTAATAACTATTCGGTAGTTGACTAAAACAGGACTTGATTTTGTGAAGAGTTTTATACATATTTTGTGGGATACTTCTAAAAAGATAAAGAGTTGACACAACGCAAATAATGTTTCTAAATATTTGGTGAATCTCAATGAATTTCAAATAGACAACAAATGAAAAATTTCAACACTATTGGATTTCACAACTAGTATTACTATTTAATTATCTAATTTCATTTCTTATTGTAAAACTACGTGTTAATTAAACGAAACCATGAAGAAACGAGGATCTGATACTAGTAGCACTATCCTTTTTTCTTTTTTAAATTACCAAATTGGTATTGTACTTCTGTTTAAAAAGTGTAATTGATATTTGGTGCAATGACAATGTTAGGTGGTCACTCTCCAAGATTGGAATAAAAATTCGTTTCGTTTTTCAGAATGGAAATGTGAGAAGTTTATTTCATGATTCATTGTTTGTGGATCTTTGTGTTAAATTTCCTTTGCAATTTGAGTGGCTCTTTGGCCTCATTCGGATTGAAAGGTCTTTCGCCCTTCCTCTAGAGTTTCGAATAATATTATAATGTACAGTATTTCTACAGGTTGCAATTTAGAATTGATTGTCACTGATTTCGTCCAACTTCAATGTTCCAAACAAATAATCCCACAAAGGAATGTGTTCAGAGAAATTATATTTGAAATGACGATGGTGAATGGCATGGGATTTGAAAGTATAGAAATATGGAATCTTAACCTTTCTTCCACTGTGATTCAATTGGACAAAGAAACTAATATACAATAAGAAGAGACAAATTGAACTGACTGGCAATGAGAAAAACATCATTTGACCAACAGCAAAGTAAGCCACCAAAGTTCCCTCAAAGGCATCACCATAAATTCCATCACAGATTCCTCGTGGAGTATTATTCTCGTGATGCCATTTGTGAATATGAATATACATCCACTTATTAACATGACAACTTCTGTGGAAAAGGTAAATTAAAAAGTCATAGATGACCACCTGTTGAACAGCACATAATATCACAGTAAGGATATACTTGATCAACTCGAGAACACCCATCTCAAAAATGTTAGATTCATAACAAGTACCATAGTATCTAGCATAGGCAATTGTGAATGTGGTCAGTATAGCAGAAAGTGTATGGTTAACAGCATATGAAAGGAACACATAGTGAGTTGTCTTATTCTTGAATTGTTTCTTATATTCTACAGCAGGCCACAAATAGGAGAAATATTGTGAAATGACAGAGATCATCATGGAGGCAATAGTAAGGAATGTTGGTACCCAAATCCAATAGTTCATAGTTGGACCACTCTCGAGTAAGCCATAATCTTCAGGTTTAGTAAAGTACATTTCGAATGCAGATTAGTTATATATTGATTATTGTTGTTTTGTTTTTTTGTGAGAATTAAATAATAACAGCTAACTCTTAAATGAATTAAGAGCTGGCAATTAGTGGAAAAACTGTTATACAGATCTAATAATAAACTGGGTCAATGTTCACTGAATACTTTCGTTTCTTTCCATTTCCAATATAAAGTTGCATATTTAAATTCATGTATGCATTGTAAATGATTCATGGTAGTTTCCATTTGGAAGGAATATGTTTTTTTCTGAAAGAGAAACATCCTTATTACAGTGAAAATCTTCCACATACGTGTTTTTAATGGTGCCTCTTCAGTGAATAAACCTTTCGATTTGGGCATCCTATTTTGTTTTTGTACAAAAAAAAATACCGTCTTAAACGCGAACGGTTTTTTGGACTATTTCGAACAAGTAAACCTAATTTGTACTAATGATGACTGACAGGCTCATTTAAAAAATTTTCATGAATGAAACTTGTAGGATAGTACTCGATTTAAAGAAAGCTTTTGACTGTCCATGAGTCTATAATGATGACCACAGTTTCAAGTGTTGTTGTTTTTTTTACTTTTGCAACGGCAACATCAAGCATGATAAAAACCAATACTTGATGTTCATGTAAAGAGAGAGAGAAATCACTTGATGGATACTTTGGTTTAACATTCTATTTTAAATTTTTAAACACACAATAGAAGTACTTTCCTCTAAAAGTCAATTCGCACATTGTAACAAAGAACCAAACATCCTCACTACAGTAGTGATAATATCATGTCATCTACGAATTATTAGCTGGTTACCACCTACGTACGATCTACGGTTCACATATGAATAAAAAAGAGCAAGATAACGAGTTGCAGGATTCTCGTGTTGGTAAGGTGAGAAAGAGTTGAGGCTTTCAAAAAATTAGCGCGCTGACTGCTGAGCTTCTGAGTTGCGATCGCTGGTTTTTGAAATGAGGTATTTTTTTACTGTATCCATTTGATATAAGGACGCCCCTACAATGCTTAAAAAAATCTCACTCGAAAAAATGAAACAATTCTCCCTTAATGTTCGCTTCTTGATGATGATGATGTTGCTTACCATCATTGGCGTGATGGTGGTCAAGGGTGTTGATCCTGATGATTTTAATATTATTTATCCTGGTGAGGAGGCTACTTATAATTTTGATGACGATGATGATGTTGTCTATTACAAATTAGAATCAGTTGAGGCTACCATGAATATGACTCTATTGTCTGGTTTTATTGAAGTTTGTTCCGGAAGAGCTAATATCTTTATTAAGGAATGTAGTGCTACTCCAGAATCACCTTGTGATTTCAGTGATAAATGGGTTCCATCAGCAATTAATTATGATAGACAATTTGTTATTCAACCAACTGCTCCTTTCCAATATCCAACAGGAATTTGTCAAGGAGGTCCAAATGTTAAATGTACCTCTCAAATTGCTTATTATATTGCCATTACACCAGTTACTAAGGGTGTTGTTTCTAGAATTGTAATATCTGGTTATACCACTAAAATTGCTGGAAGAGTTAATTTAATTACAACTGACAATAGAGGATTGAACTTTTTACCTAATGACAGAGCTCTCTCATTCAGCACTCCAACTTATTGTGCTTCAGAAACTGAAGGAGGTTGTAAGAATGAACTTGTTCCTACCCCAGCTTATGTTGCTTGTATGTCACCAAACTCTGCCACTGCTAACATTGCTTCTGTCTGTGGTTGCAGAAATAAGCCAATCAACTTGCAAGGTTGTACTGATTTGAATGGCGTTACAACATGTAGATTGGATAAGGGAATTGTTTCAGATTTGAATTCTGGCTTGTACAGTATTAACATCTTGGTCAATAAGGAAGATATTCCAGAATTGCCTGAATTTGCTTACCTTCCATCCGTATTCTATTATGAACAACCTTCAAATGCTGTTGGTATTGCTTTTGGCATAATCTTTGCTGTCATTGCTGTAGGTGTAATTGTTGGCGGTATTGTTGGAGGTGTCATTTTCTACAGAAAGTACAAAGCCAAGAAATATCAAGAAATAAACGGTAATTAATCATTGAATTTTACTTCAACTTGGGTAATGCTTAATGTTTTCATTAGTTGTTTCTTTTCCAGTTGAAGCTTTTCAATTTGCAAATTCTTTTTTTGAATGATAAATCTCAGATTTTCCAATTGTAATTCGTAGTCACTGCACATGGTATCAAATTTCTGCTTTGGTATCATATCAGTTCCTTCAAAGTCGTCGTCTTCAAGTTCCAGATCATCCAATAACTGTCTTAAACTGAATAGTGCTGTTTCCTTGAAAGTTCTAGAGTTTGGTTTTAATTTTGTTTGAAAGTTTCTTATGGTTGAGGTATTATGATAATCGTCGATACGATTGTTCCTAGACTCAGAAGTAGGTTCTATTTGTTTTGTGTTTTCTTCATTCAAATTTTCCATCTGATTTTTAGGGGTGCTTTCAATTATTTGAGAGCTTGTCGAGGAATTAAGATCCAAATCCAATAATGGACCATTGAAATTGGTTCTTCTCGAAGCACATCTGGATATTCTAATTAAAGTTTCCAGCAATAGTTGTGAGTGCTCTGTTTTTGAATTGAAATATTTAGCCCAATCACTGGGTTCATATTTGATAACAGACTCAATTTTAGTTGATCCGAATAATATGTTCTATATGAAATATTCAATATAATTAGGAATTATACCCAACCTACCAATTCCTGTGGTATTCTCTTAATCGATTTAGGCCTGATTGTGACTTACCTTTAAGAATGTTTGAAAATTTTCCCTCTCAACAACTTCCTTTCCTCCAGGATGTTTGTTAAAAGTTATGTGTTTTAATTTAATCTTTTCAACAATTCTACACAGCAATACTCCGTCCTTAAAACAATTCAAAAAACTCTGTAATGGATTTTGCGTTTTAATTTCCACCAAATCCAATCCTACCAATACATTAATCCACTCCTTCAGAGAATTCAGTAAAGTCATATCCGGTCGCGAGCTTGATGTTGTTTCCTTAGCATCATCCCGATAGAAATCCTCATCATCATAATTTGAAAATTCCTCTCCCGAATTCATCAGTAAGGGAAATAACTTTGAAGGTGTTTGAAATTGGCCTCCAAGAACAGCTTGTTGCATTTTTTTAAATATTTCTAAATCAAATGCTCCACAATTGCACCTTAATCAAGAAATTTACCGTTATCAAAATATTTACAAATAAAATTTCGTCTTTGGGAATAGATATACAAGAGACGTGAATATGAAAATTTAATATTATTTTAATATTTATTAAATTAAGAAAAAAAATGGGTTGATTATGTTTGTTCACTGTATCTGATATTTGTCGGTTATTAAAAAATGTTCAAGGATATTAAGAAAAGAAGTCAATCTCCAACAATTGGGTTTTCTTCGGTATTGTTTAAAAAACCAAAACCAAATTTATTACTAAATGGTATGATGAAATTGAATCATGATAAAGTATTAGAAATTCTTCGGGATGATTTATACTTTGAAGATGAAGCCATTGATTGTGTAAAAAAAGAACGAAACCAAAATGGAAGATATCCTTTGAGTGCTCTCAACGGAAACCATTTATTAATTGCTATTAATGCCTATGAAACAAATATCAAAAGCAATGGAACACCAGAAACAGCCAAACAGTCCATGGTCGACTCCTTGATGGACGAAGGAAAAATAATGGTGAAAAGTGTTGCAGAGCCCATTGCTGTTTGGTTGATTAGTGAGTTTGTTGAAAGAAAACAAGTAGAAATTGAAGAATCCAACAAATCAATAGACGCTGAAGATATTTCAGCGTTCATCAAGCTTGTAATTAGCACAAATGGTGCTATGACTGATAGAACTGACAAAGTTGTTGGTATATTTGAACCTAAAAATATAGTGGAGTCTTCTTCGGTTGTTGTTTTTGGTTTTGGATCTAATTTCAAATTTATTGGAAGAGAAGAGGTTGTAAATATGTTTATGGAAAGCTACAGACCTTATACTGCCTTGATAGAAAATGAAAAAAAGGCCCTAAGAGATAATATTGAGCTCCCATTCATAGCTGCAGCTCCTGGAATTGGAAAATCAAGGATATTGCAGGAGATTGGTCTTGATATGTACAACAACAAACAATATTTTCCGTTATTTATATCATTTGGGAATGGAACAAAGATGGACGTTATGAATGAACCAAACCCCATGAATGGTTTGTGTGTAAGAATTGTTTATTCAATACTTTGTGCTTTTACAGGTTCGAAAGGGGAAACCTCTGTTTTTACTGGGTTGTTACGAAAATGGAATGAATTTTTTGGGAAAAGAAAGGTTCTCGATATTGAAACTATATTAATAGCCTGTAATGCTGTAATTTCTCCAAACGAACATACCAACTTCTTTATTGGTATGGATGAGGTACAAATAATTAATTCACACATTAATAGACCATCTCCACTTGATGTAATTATTTCGTCTATTGGACAGTATATGCAGCATCCAGTCTGTGGCATTATTTATCCTCTATTTGTGGGAACTTACTATACAGGCATAAAAAAGAGTTTTTTGGGAAGTGCTTATTCTCCAAAATACATTCCAACAAAGCCTATGTTACCAACAACAGAATTGTATCAGATTATGGACGATTTGGTCCAAACATACAACAAATTGCAAGGATGGAGAAAAAATGTTTCATTTAAACATTATTTAAGGACATTTGGGGGTTATGCAAGAGGAATAGAATTTTATTTGGTGCAATTATTGTTCAGAGATTTGCTTCCTCAAGCAGCTTGGTGGGAAGCAAAGACAAAAATATTAGAAAAATATGATGTTTCATTTATCTCTTCTAAAGTTAAAAATAAGATATTACAACTTGTGGTTACAAGAAGAGTGGTAGCAAAAAATGATAAAGTAGAAGATGATTTGACTTGGTCTGATTTAGAAAATCAAGGATTGGTAATGTTAGAAAAGGCTAAGGGCCAGGAAGAATTTTTGATCACTTATCCTCCAGTAATTCTTCCATCATTAATGACACTTGAGCCAAGGGAAATTTATAACAATTTATTTAATTCAGATTCTTCTGTATCATCTTGGGAGGATGTGATTCTTGAATATTATTATTTGATTTTAACATTATTGAAGGATCAGAAATCGTTGACATTGAAAGAATTGTTTCCATTTGCTAAAATGAATCCAGCAACAGCAAATTTAAAGATAGAGAAAATCCACTCATGTTACAAATGTACACATGACAAAAGATTGGAGAGTGATATGTCAACGAGAAAATATTTTAATCTAAAATCTGGTTCTACTTCATTTACTTATAATCCATCAAATAACACTAAGGGAGTTTATATCATCAAAAATGTCCCTGATGCCTCGGCTGGTGATGTTCTTGTGTTGGGTATGAAAAATGAGCTTAATGGTAGTGATTGTGTGTTTCATTTACAATGTAAATGGGCTGATTCAAAAACAGCAAAACTGGATTTCTCTACAATAGAAGAGGTAGAAATAATCAAAAACAATAGTTTTGATTTACCAACACAAAATAAGATAATTCCAGTAACAAACATCACAGTTATTGTAACAGGAAAATCAATTACAGATATGCCCGAATCAGAAAAACTTCCCGATAATTTGATAATGATCTACAAAGATAACTTTTCCAAACATTTCGGAACACTATCTGAGCATATGAAATATTTATATTCCACCAATTATCTTCATATTAATGAGTGTGAAGCAAAAGGATATGAAAACTTTGGTATTGGCAAACAAGCTGCGAATGATATCATAACGAAAAGAACATCTGATAAAGAGGGGTTCAAAGATTTAGAAGACCTGGAAAAGAAAGTTGGAAAAGAGTTATTTGGCAAGTTAAAGGATTTAGATATAGTTTTTTAATTTGGAAATCAATATCTGTTGGTCGCTTAATAAACATTTATGTTTGCTTGTACATTTTATTAAAATATAATGTACACATCACTCAGAAGGTGGATTGGAAACATGATGTTTTCAAAATTCCTCAATAATCACTACGTAAATTATCCACTTTAATGATACATGGGATTGAAAACCCAATGGCTCAACGTACTAAGCAAAACTACTTCTTAAAACCATCATCGGAAGTTGGAAATTACTAACACTTTTCATCCTTAAAATAAATTTTAATGGAACTTGACTCTCTTAATTGTTTGCTTACCCAAAATGTCAACTTGACTTCAAGTCATCACCATTAAATGTCATCACACAACAATAAAATTATTGAAAACTTTCATTGGCATGATTGATGCCTTTCCTCTCATCTTCCGAAAAATTTCAAAAAAAAAAGCCATCACACTGCTTTCTCAAGGGTTATCTACTTCCGACTAGTAATAACAAAAAACAAAGCCTTTTTTTCTCAAAGAAGACAACCATCAGCATATCATCAAAATGTCTAAAATTAATGGTATTGAAACAGAATGGACTGTTTTGCAAAGACAACATGGTAATTTGCCAGAACTCCCAGAAGAAGAAGAAGTTGATAAAGTAGCTTATTTTAAATCAGCAAAGGAAGAATTTCAAAATCAATATGCCGGAGCCACACTTGAACAAATTAATGAATTAGAACAAGATAGTAAATATAATGAAGAAGAAGATGATTTCCTTCAACAAATTAAAGCAAGACGTTTATTAGAATTAAAGCAAAAGCAAATGGCCACCAAGTTTGGAGGAGTGCAAGAAATTTCCGCCACTGAATATGTGAAAGAAGTTTGTCAAACTCCAGATAAGACTACTTTTGTGGTTGTTCACTTGTATGCTCCTGCAATTGAAGATTGTAAGATTTTAGATGATCGTTTGACAAAACTTTCAAACAAATTCCTAGAAGTTAAATTTGTTCGTATTAGAGGAAGTGCAGCAATTCCAAACTTCCCTGAAAAGAATTGCCCAACATTGTTAATTTATAGAGGAGGTAATAATGTTGCTCAATTTGTTGGATTGGGTAAAATTGGTGGAAGAGAAATGACAGCCAATGATTTGGAATGGATTTTGTCAACCATTGGTGTTGTTAAATCGGAAATGAAACAACCACCATCATCACGTGTTGCTGGAAATTCTGGTTTCAAATTTACTGGTGATTTTTCTAGTACTGTTGGTTCTACGTCAACTGCTGCCAGAAGATCCGCATTCGATTATGATGAAGATGACGAAGATGATGACTACTAATTTCTCTCTAGGAACAATGTAATATAAAATACTAAAATTTAAAAATCTTATTATTCAATTCTTTTGTTAAGTAAGAAATCCAGCAAGATTGCATTTTCCTCTTCCAAAATGAGAGAATTGAAAGTTGCCTAAACCATTCTTCCATTTCACAAACTGGTAAATGTTCACATAGATCTATTAAAAAAATGCAGCACTTTCTGACTGTAGATGTTGTGCAGTTGATTCTTTGTTTTTTAGAAGGAAGAGAAACATTTCGTTTTCGAGTCGTAAATCACAATTTCTATCAAGCAAAGCAAAACCTCGGATTCGAATTGAAAATAGATCATGCAACCAAACTCACTAAAACTATTAATCAGTTAAAAGATAAACAGACCAATATTACAAAATTGAAATTGATAAATGTTAGAAACATACCCTGTGAATTATTCGAAATGAATGGTTTTTCAAGGGTTGATACTCTTTCTCTTTATGGAGAATGCAATTTTATTGAATCATCAAATCTTGGATCAGCAGTTTATTTACCAAGATATATTGGAAATGTAACTAATCTCAAACTATTTATGAAATCATTCAAGAATGAATTGATCAATTGGTTTCAAACTCATTATAGTCAACTGAAAGCATTGGAAATTAACCTTTCTGATAGTTCAATTCCACAATATATTCTAGATGAATTTTACAAAATTCCATTCAATCTGGAAGAATACAAATTAACTGGATTTCCCAAGACGCCAAATATTTCACCAATGAAAAGTTTGAAAACCTTGAAAATTGAAGTTGACCATGAAACAGATTTTCACAATATTATGAGTAGTGAAGTTAAATTTGAAAGAACTTGACTTGGCTCTACATTTCAGAAATCAAAAGGAAATTATTGAAAAAGCACCTCAGTTGTTTCCTTTAGCTTTTTCCAAGTTGACTAAACTCGGAATTCGAAGAGTATATAATTTGGATTTTTCAAAATTAAATTATTCTGGTATATTTAACAAGAATTTGAGGGAATTAACTTTGACGGATGACAGTTTGGAGATTCTTAATTATATTAAGGAATTGAAAATTGTAAAGTTGGATTTGGATAAAGGTGAAGTGGATTTAAATTCATTATTTTCATTGAAAATGGAATCACTCTTTGAATTGACACTTCGAAATAAGAAGTTTACAACTCAAAATATTGATTTCTCAATTTCTAATAATTATCCAAATTTAGAAAGGATTCATTTCATCAGTTGTGTTTTGGGAGATGAACATCAATTTATTAAGAACAATCCATCTCTGAAAGAAATTATATTTGAGAATTGTAATTTAGAAAATGAGAAATCATTCAGAAAATATTTAAATGTTAAACTCATTCAAGAAAATAGCCAAGCAAAACAGGGAACAAATTGTTTAAATTGTTTCAGTTATATTTTGTTACCTATTGCCTATTGTTTCTGTTGTCTTTGTTGTAGAGATGAAGAGGATTAATAAACTAGAACTCTTGTTAAACTTGAATAAAAGAAGAATTAACTTTTTCAAAATTTAAGGCAAGTCCTTCACTTGATCACTATTCTTGTTTGACTTTCTTAGTTGGAGGTTCATCAGCAACATTTGATTCGGAAGGTCTTGCAAGAGCTTTCTGGTCTGATTTGGTTGCATACTCTATGTATTGTTTAAGGATATTTTCAATTGAGCCAGTAATTGCCTTTTTTGCATCTGGGCTCATTCTCGTCTTGGTGAGTTTGAGAGTTTGTGGAGAGCCTGCTTTAATTGTTTCCTTGATAAGGTCTACTTGTTCTTTAAGAATTGTTTCTACATGTTTTCGGGCATTTAGTTTCTCTTTTAGAGAAAATACCTTTTCATTTGAAATGAGAAACTTTTTTACCTTTTCACAATGCTCACATGAACATGAAAGGGTAATGTGATTAAAAACCCACGTAGAGGTTCCTTCCAAGTCCAAGTCCAAGCTATGGGAAGCATTGGGTGTAGTAGCCGAATTAAATAATACTTTGTAGGAATGTTCCAAAATCATCCGCAATCCAGTTCCAGTTCCAAAACATTCAATTCCATTAGTTTTGATTATTTCTTTAACCAAGGAATAGGAATACTTTGGAATTGATATTTTTTGAATCAGTGCATTGGAAAATCTTATTTCATCTGCACTCCTATCATTATTTCTGAAAAAGGTTAATAAATCAACGTATTCTGATGCATTTTCCAATTTGAAATCAAAATTTTGGATGATACTTTCAAATATTTTGTCAGATAAGTGTTTAGCTTCTGCACTGCTCTGCATGGATAATTGTAGAATAGCAAGCCTCCTTGGGGTGAAGGGGTATCGATGCAGATCTTTCAGAGCCAGAACTAATAAAGGTTCAGTCTTTTCAATGCCAAAATGTTTCATCACTGCTACAACCTCATTCAATTCCTTATCGTCCATTTTACATGACATTCTATTTAATAAAGGTAGAGCCAAGTTAATCATGTTCAATTTGATGACAACTTCTGAATTGATTAGAGAGCAACCAACTCTTGATTTATCAATAGACAGCTCTGATTTGACATACGCATCAATAAATTGGTTTAGCTTTTCTGAGTAACTTGGATATTGGTCTTTCAATTTGAAAATGATCATAATAGCATCTGGATGTGCCCACTCCATATTTAATGACTTTAGTGATACTACCTTATCAACAAAATGAGTAATCCAAGATTGCTCGTTCAGCTCCAAAATCATTTTTCCAATTGCTGTAATTTCATTTGAATAATAGTTTTTAGTCTTGACTGTAATTATGAAAAGAATAAAAATATTTAGTACTATTACCAAAAATATCAACTTACAACACTTTTCTAAACTATTACTGACTAATTCCTTGAAATGTTCAGTGCCATGATTCTTGATTACCTTGGTTAATAAAATTGTTGCTTCCTCAGTCTTGAATTCATCTACAATTAATACCTTTTCCACATATTTCAAGCTTAATGGAAGATAATTCAAGGTAAGGCAAATATCTGAAAACTTTGACATGTCTACAAAACTCCTTGTACTAAGATTGTCTTCAGAACAGCAGAGGAGAGACGAAGTGTATGCCATCAAAATGTTTTTCTTCTTATCTGTTTTTTGTTCCTTATAATCTTTCCAAAATTTTTCTAAAGGGTCTAGTTGATTACAGAGTGATTTGAGTTGCTTTGGATATATGAGGATACATGTACTCTTGTAGCAACGATTTATCTTCATATATTCAGTAAAATCTTCCTCATCTTCAACCTGTAATAATTAAACTGAAGCGCGAATCTCAATAATACTTACTTCCTTATGAGTTAGCTCCATTCTCCTTCTAGCCACATCAGGGAGCACTTCGTCTTCAACGATAAAATCAATTCGTACATTATTTGTTGTATGAGCCTTATACCTGAGTTCAGTATCATACTTCATATCAGAGAGGCATATGGTTTCTTCATGTTTTTCTAAAGTTGCTAAATGAACCTCAACGTGTTCAAGTTGTGAAAATAACTGATAAGCAATTTTGTCCTTTCCTTGCAACACAGATGGACCAAGGGTGGCCTTTGTATATTTGTTTTCTAAAATGTAACAGAGCTTGGTATACATTGGAACCTTGATCCAAGTTTCTATAATATTCTGCATATCTCTCAATTGTGTAGCACTGTCATATGGTGCAATTCTATCAGATCCAGAATATTTCAAATTATAAACCAACGATAATCTGTATCCAGAGGTTAGTGGTTCTCCTTTGTGTTCACAATTAGAGTAAAAGCTGACATAGTATGGAGAATAGGTGGATTCATCTTTGTATTGGAATTTCATTTCCTTTCCGCTGTGAGACAATGTAAAATTACCACCAGTGAATGAGCTAGGTAATTGAACTAACAAGTTAGCAACTATTCCATCCTCTTTATCAATATCCGTGCAAAAATCAAATAAACCTCCCTCCTCATGCAATATCATTTTGGAAAGTGAGAAGTCAATCTTCTTTTCATTCAAAATACCAAGCTTTGCTTTGACCTTTCTAACTAATTCTTCAATTGACGAATCCCATTTAGGGTTGGTAATTCTGAATTTATGTGGATCCAAGTGCCATGATTTGGTAATGTTTACATTTTCAGTCCTTCCAAAAGAACAATTCCTTATCAATTCAGTGACCTGTTCCGCATAAACAATTGGCAGTGGTAATGGCTTGTATTTTCCATTATCCTCAAGAAGAATTTCAATAGCAGGCATCAAGTAATTCGAATCCAATTTTCCTCCAGTAATATAATCTCCATTCAATACACAACTCTGCTCCAACAAATCCAATATTCTCTTCTTGATGTTTTTATCTGGTGGAAGTAATTTCTCAGCAAGACAATCTCTTTTAATTAACAAAGTTTCCAACTCTGGTGTTGGTGCTACAATACACTCATCACTAAAATATGAATCATCGGAATCATGATCATAATCTCTTACAGTATATCCCAACGATCTGGACATTTGTTCGAATTGTCTGGGATTTAGGCAATCCATAATATCCATAAAATCCTCGTCAGTTATTTCCTCTTCATCATGATGGCTTGGTTTTTTTGCCTTTTTCACCATTTTTTTTATTCACAAAACTGTTATTTGTTTACACTTAACGAAAATATTAAAAACTTTAAAATGGATCATTATTAACAATTAAGAGGACTCAATAGCAAGTGCCAATATTTAAAATAGATCGTTTATTAGCTTCATCTATTAAAGATAAATCCATCACTAGAAATCTGAACTAGTAACGCTCTCAATAGTTGATCAGGAAGCAATGCTACTCTATCACAATCAGTGAAAAGCTTAGCACGATAAACTGATCCAAACATTAGTAATAGTTGATAAAATTCTTCACAACATGGTAAATGTAAGTAATTTTTACAGACAGACACTACCTCGAAATAATTATCGACACTGATCTTAAAATTCTTCAACCAACAATCGATAAGGTATTTCATTTCATGTTTCATTGCTGTTGAGAGGAGGGACATGTTTTGATTGGAATTAAACTCAATATTTCCACATCTATAGCATGCTTGGATTATAATCTTCACCAAATCGACATTTTCTGATGGATCTGGAACCATGAAACCATCTTTAATATTGTCAATTTCTTGATTCTGAAAAAATGTCTCGAATATTGAGCTAGAAGAGCTTAATATAGTTTTGTGGCAATATAAAAACTCATCTTCACTCAATTTGACACGAAAATCATATGTTCCCTTATCATTATATAAACTATTAACTCCTTGCTGAAATTTTTCAACAATTTCATCAATGATAATAGGACTTGGTTCTGAAATTGCCATTAAAGGGAAAATCCTGACGCTGTTCCTTAATATTATAGAAATATTTGAAAGTATTTTGCTTCCTTCTGGAGATTTCAATTGAACAGCAGTATATTCTGTGCAATATTTGTTCAACTTCTCAAGGATAAAGTTTGAAAGTCCAAGATTTTCACATATTTTCAATAATTCTTCAACTTTCTCCCATACAGAAGATAGAGATGTCAAGGAAAGAGAATTGATAAACTTGGTAACCATGTCTTGTTTCAAATCAAGAAATTCAGCATTTTTAAAGAATCCCAAAATATACAAAACATTGACTGTATACTCTTCATTGAAATTCATCTTATCATCATTATAAATCATAGAGTCAATAAGTTTTTGTACAATTTCTCGTTGAGAAGAATCCATTTCACAAAGGAGTTTTTCATTTCTCAACACTGTTTTGCTAAATTCAGGTGAAAAATTTTCCAATAGTGGCATAAATCCATAAATATCCAATCCAAACAATCTATCTCTGTTATACTTTTTCAATTTAATCTTTGGGAAATAAATGTCTCGTTGTAATAACACAGTTTCTTGTTTTTCCAAATTAGTACTTCCAATATGAGGATGCAATGAAAAATCAAATGGTGCATCACCACTATATCCATGTTTTCCATTTCCTGCTATTGTTACAATATTTCCATTTTCCAAAACCTTTCTAATTCTATTATTGGCAGAATCTGCAAAATAAATTTCATTATTCAAAGTTACAAATAGACCTGTAGGGCATGCAAGTTGAGCTCTCGTTGCAGGTCCACCATCACCACTGAATCCTTGTTGTCCAGTTCCTGCAACAGTTACAACATTTCCATTTTCCAATATTTTTCTAATTCTATTACTGGTATTATCAGAGAAATAAATTTCATTCTGTGGAGAAACAAAAACACTTGTTGGACTTTGTACTTTTACAGAAGTAGTACTGAATCCATCACCCATTACTGTTTCAAGAAATCCATTTCTTAATATTTTTCTAATTTTGTTGTTTTTGAGCTCGGCAAAATAAACTTCATTCTTATCTGAAACATGAAGACTCACAGGTCCATTTAGTTTTGCATTTGTTGCAAGAATACTGTCACCAGAAAATCCTAGCTCTTCATTTCCAGCTATTGTTACAATAATTCCATTTTCCAATATTTTTCTGACTCTATTATTGTTCGAATCTACAAAATAAACTTCATTCATATTGGAAACAAATATACTCATAGGACAATTCAATCTGGCACTTGTAGCTGGTCCATTATCTCCACTAAATCCCTCCTCTCCGTTTCCAGCTATTGTCACAATTCGTCCACTTTCTAATATCTTCCTAATTCGATGATTGTATTGGTCAGCAATGAATACTTCATTCTTATTAGAAACAAAAACACTTGATGGGCAATTTAGCTGTGCATTAGTAGCCAATCCATCATCTCCACTAAACCCTCCTTTTCCATTTCCTGCTATTGTAACAATTCGTCCACTTTCTAATATCTTTCTCACTCTATGATTATATTGATCGGCTATGTAAATTTCGTTAGTGGGAGAAACAAACACTCCGAACGGATAACACAACTTGGCATCTGTTGCCAAGTAGGAAGAAGTATTGCAAGATGAAGATTTTTTTCTTGGATTATTTTCGCCGTCAGTTTCGCTATCAGAATTCTCATCCAAAGTTCTTTTCATTTTTTTAATAATTTCAATAATTACATAATGTTGTGTGTTTGATGTTTTGATAATTCTATCCATTTATATCCCTTTATTAATAAAATTCCTGAACAACAACAATTCAGATTTGCCAACATTTCTAGAACTTTACGCCCAAAACTCTTTTTCTTCATCACTTGTGAGAGCCACTACTTCATCATATTTAGATAATTGATGAATTGATGTAATTAAAATACAATCATCGTCTTTCACTATTGAAAATGCCACTCTATTAACATATGCTGTACTCTTTTCGTTTCCAATCTTATTCAAGCGATCTAATACTTGACGAATGTCTGTATCTGTTTTCAAAATATCAATGAAAACAGCATTGTTTTTCCCTTTGAATTTCACTTTGATTTGCATGATGATTTCTGGTGAAAGAATTGAATCATTTGTGGTAGGTTCTTGCATTAGTGATGGTTGAATGGTTTCAAATTGTTGAACAGTCTTCTCAGCTTCCTTAAAAGTAATTTCCTTAATTCTTGTAACATCCTTTTCAGGTTCATTTAGTAATAATATTGGAAGAGGTGAGCCATCTGGTAATAGTGGTAAAAGTTCAATGGGAAATTCAGAGGTATGCAAAAGGTTTTGCCTTTTCAGAGCTGTATACTTGAGCAAAGCTTCTTTTTCTGCTGTGAAATCCAAAGCTGCTCTATAAAATAGGATTTTCATTTGGTGAGCTTGATAACAATGTGGATCTATATCCAATGCCGTTTCTATATAACCCAATTCCATTGAGCTATCGCCTCTATTACTACAGATTCTGGATAAAAAGAGAAGTAATACAGGGTCCTTGCTATACAGTTCTTGACTAGTAAGTTTTTCACCATATTCCAATGCTTTATCCAAATAACCTAAACAATTGGATAAAAACATTGCAATAAAGTTTAACCTATTAATCTCAAAGTGCTCAGACAATAACAACATTTGCTCAAACACTTGTTTTGCATTTTCAATACTGCCAATAGTTAAAAAGCAGTTTACCATAATTGCATATAATCCCAAACTATTTGGTGATAAATTCCTTGCATGTATCAAGTCAGCTATACCATTTTGATGATCATTAGAAAGGGTGAATAACATTACACCCCTTTTGTAATAAAAGTATCCAGAGAGCATACTCTTGTCACCATAAAGTTTGATTAGCTTGGAATATTCATCTACCAACGAATAAGTCATTCCATTCAATAATTCTACAAGTAGTAACTTTTTTTTTTGGCATGCCAATGTGAAGAATGAATTTGTAGAGTTTTCCAATCTTTGTAAAGATTTTTCAGGCATTTTCTTGTTCATTAGTGAAATGGCATGTAATTGTTCAAATATAAAGCCCAAGTATGGCTCATTGGTCTTAATTTTCAGTGATAGTTGATCAAGATCTTGTATCATTTTGTCCAATGTTGCTGTATCGGTAATGGGTGTTTGTAAATTAAATTGAAATTCCCAAATTCTGAAATCTCTTTTCAATAGACTGCTACAAAAGATTAATCCTACCATGTATGCAATACCTAAACTATTTCCTTGCTTCGTTTCATTGTAATATTTGGATAACAATTCCATTGAACCATTATTGAAATCTGAAATCAATGATAATTGATCATATAGTATCAAAACAGGTGAAGGATTCTCCAAATTGTCTAAGTTTACACTATTATTCTGTCCATGTATGTGCATCATAATAATCATGCAACATAGATCGAGAGCATTCAATATGGTGAGTCTACTTTCCTTGTCGTAAGTTAGAAATCCATTCACCATTGAAAGTAGTAATGGTTGATCTTTGAGATATTCAATACCAGACATGTATTTCGCCAACTTCTTTGACCAATAATGGCTAAAGAAAATGTTACGCTGTTTGTGTTTGTATTTAGTTTGACATTCTCCCAAATAGTTTCTAATAGATACATCAGTTGGTGGACAAAGCAATTTGAAAAGGACAACACCCATACTACAGCAATCAATCTTGAATCCGTACTTGCCATCAAAGGCCTCTGGTGGTAAGTAGTCATCTGTTCCCTTTTTATCTGTATTGGTTGTGTGATCAGTTCGAAAGGTTTCTCCAAAGTCAGCCAATGCAATCTCAATAAATGTTTCATTTTCTTCATCAAATGATTTGACAAGAATGTTTGAAAGTTTGATATCACAATGAACAAGATTATGTTTGTGTGATAAATTGACAGCAATACATAATTGTGTCATGATTTGACCAATTAGAAAATCAGTCAATCTCTTTCCTCTTGATGTGAAATATCTTTCAATAAATGTTTCCAAATCTCCAAACTTGTAAAATGGCATTACAATTCCAATGTAACCACCACTACCATCACTTTCGAAATAATTTAGAAATTCCATACTCTTGGCAATATATTCACACTGAACATTCTTCATGGCTGTGAAAATTTCTTCTTCTCTCTCTACAAGTGCAATATCACCAGTCCCTTCACTTGGTTGCATCACTTTTAAAGCAATTATTTGTTGATCATCATTTTGTGTATCAATACATGAGTAGGTGGTGCCATATGCTCCTTTTCCAACTGGTGTAGGATTGGAAAAACGACTGCCAAAACATGAGGGAAGTTGAGTTTGACTGATCATTTGACCAGATTTTTTTGGATTCTTTTTCAGAATGACAGTGTCACATTACAAAAAAATGTCACGTCAACCTTATGCATTCCCTTCTTCTTTTTGTGACAGGTTTTTGAATCCGCTGTTTATTGGAGAAGGAGGTTACGGAGTTGTATATCGATGCTTTGATCGTTGTTCAAACCATGAAATTGCATTGAAAATTATTAATTTATTAGAAGAAGAGGAAAGAGAATTCATTATTGAAAAGGAATTGAAGATATTTAATTTGAGAAAGAGTATTGTATGTGAATATTTGGTAGAGAGTTTGGAATACATTAATCATCATTCCAATATTGGGATTGTAATGCCATTTTACAAGTATGGAGATTTGGAAACATTTATTGAAAGATATTTCACATCAAGAGGAAAGAGATTGACTGATTTTCTAATTGGTCAAATCATGACACAATTATGTATTGCTGTCAATATTTCACACAAACATAATCTTGTTCATTGTGATATCAAACTTTCAAACATTCTTGTCAAATCATTTGATGAAGAAAATGAAACATTTATTGAGATTGCATTGGCTGATTTTGGAGAAACCTTACAAACTGAAAACACCAAGAAAACACATAGGGGAACATTTGAATATTTACCACCTGAATCAATTAAACATAGACTCTATGATTACAAAGTCGATTGCTGGAGTATGGGTGTTGTACTTTTCAAAATACTCTTCCCCGAGTCAACAATTAGTTTTAAGGATATTGTAGATGAATGTGATTTTCGATTTCTAAATTTAAAACTCGAAAATACACAAGCAACCATTGAGAATACATGGAGTGAAGTGTTTCAAGCAAAATTCATCAATGAAATCTCTACGAGGGAGGTTGACCAATTCTTTGAGCTACTATTATTATCCTTTCTAACATATGATAAGAAGGAGAGATTATCATCGTTGAATGCAATGGAAATATTAACCATTAATAATCTTAGATTAATCATATGCAACAATCTCCAAATAATAGGTGATAGAGAATTTACAGGAGTTTTAGAAATGAATAGAATACTTTCTCATTTGAATGCCAATAGTATTGAAGATTCAATAGAAATACTTGACAAATATTATATGAAATTATCTATTGATGATGCTGTTGAAATTAGAATCAAATACTGTGTTGGCTTGCTTTTGGCCATGTTTTTATCAAGAGATGATATACATGTTTGGGAGAGAGTTTATGGAGGAAAGTTACCAAACATCTCCAAGGCATTAACACTGCTTGAGTCTTTGGAATTTCTCTCAAGAAAATTCAATACACACCAAGATCCGAACAGTGGTCATGTGTTGGAGCAATTGAAGGGATTCTTACATCTCTACAAGGGTAACACTAAGCAAGCTCTACAATGTTTGGATAATTCCTTGAAATCACATTTCTCCATTCCTGTCATTAATGCCAAATTGGGTATTTTGGAGCAAATGGGCTCAACATTCATCCTTATTGCTGAATACACTAAAATATTGGAAAAATATGGGAACAGTTTAGATGATTTAGCTCATTATTACTTGAAAAGAGGAATAATTATTTATCAAGTTGGTAAAACAAAAGAAGAAAAGCTTAAAGCATTCCCAGATTTTCTAAAAGCAAGAGAATTGGAACCCAATTGCTTGGTAATCTATGTTTATTTAGTTCAGTACTATGCTGAAATTGGAGAGATTGAAAAAGCCAAGAAAATTTTCAAGCAAATGCTGGACCATTTTGAGGAATCAGATGTTTTGAGTATGATTGCCTCTCAATTATCAGTTATTTTCAATGAATATGAGAATGGTCTTTCGTATGCTGAGCAATTATTGAAAAACTATTCCAATAATTCTACAATTTTAATATTCATAGCTTCCATTCATGCAAAGTTGAAACACACTGAAAAGGTACTTGGTTACATTGATAGAGTATTGCAAAGTGAACCAAATTTTGAACCTGCGCACGAACTGCGAATTTCTTACTTTCTAAAATGTAATCAGAACAAATATGCAAGTGAAGCCAATGAAGAATATTTCAGAATTAGACAAGTTTTTAATAACCAAATGAAAACTCCTGAATTTCCTATTGAGTTAAGACCTCTCTATCCTGACAACTTTTCTCCTCTAGAGATGACTTTGATATATTATAACGATTCACCACCTATGCAGCATCAAACACCAGTCAAGGTTTCCACAGAGAAAATTCAAATTCATACAATCAAAATCAAATTGGAAGGTTCTCGTGTTTCTGTTTTAATTGACATATCACAGAATGACACTGTCGAGCAAGTTATTGAACGTTTGAATTTATTTCTTCTCACTCGAGTCTCAATAATTGCTCCACGAGTATCACTAAGGACGAAAGAAAATTTTCTAATTAGTGATGTTTCACAAATATTGAAAGAAGATTTCATTCGTGCCCTCCACTCTGAACAAGAGAAGGATTTACAATAATATCAGCTGTATTTGCTGACCGTAAACACTCATCACCCGTATATTTAGCAAGTTTCTTTTTTGTAGAGATGGGAAGTCTCAAAATTGAATAAATAAGGAAAAAGGAAGTCTGAAAAGTTTTCACAAATTGAACTGTAAAAAATGTCAGCAGATCAATTCACTAGTTTAATTAATAGTATTGAAAAGAATCAGTATTCTGAAGTGCTTTCTCTATCAACCAATAGAAAGTTAATGAGTATGAAAACTTCAAATGGAGCAACACCTCTCATTCATGCATGTCGTTTCAAAAACACGAGTCTTTACATTATTCAATGCTTATTCTCAGCAGGTTCACAATTATTAACCAAAGATAATAGAAATACTTCACCATTCCTTGCTGCATGTGAGAGTGGAAACTTTGATGCTGTCAAGTTTCTCTACAGCAAGTGTAAGAATAAGGATTTATTGTTCATTGTTGATAGTGGCAAGGAAGATCCGCTCACAAAATCTGTAAAGAGTGGAAATTGTGAGATCATGCAATGGTTACTTGAACGGGTGGAGAGAGAAGATGATAGGAAAAGAGCACTTTACTATTCTGTTATTTATGGCAATGTTCAAGCTTTCAATATTTTGATAACTATCAAATTTCAGGATATAGATTACAATGATCTATTCAATCAATGCACTACAAATCCAAATCTTGAAATAATCAAAGCACTTCACAGCAAGTGTACTTGTTTAAGCGCAGCTGATTATATTCGACTTTCAAATAGAGTGAAAGATAATGAGAAAGTTAAAGATGAATTATTGAAATATTCAAGAATGAGAAGAGAAAAATTGGCATGGGAGTGCGTCAAACCTGCTTACTTGATTCGAGTAAATGGTAGAAAATCAGAATGCTCCAATGCTATTCTTAAAGATCATCCACTTTCTAATATTTGTGATGATGCTTTCCGTTTGGTGTGTTCTTATCTCATTAGGAAACCATCAATGAACACTTATTATGACAGTGATGAATTCTATTACATGACTACATTTGCTCATGATAGGATTGAATCACCTTATTATGGTTCTGATGATGATTACTATTATTAAATTGTAAAACTGTAGTAAAATGAGCTTTCCACAAGTTCGAATTACAATTTTGTGAAATGGAATAAGTTTCTAATAGAGATGTGTAAATTCCTTTTAAAAATCTACTTGGAAATCGTATTTAGATAAAATAAATTGAAACTGGAAACAATTCATGGAACTATAGGAGTTTAACAGTATTAAAAATGAACAGATTTCAAGCCCTCACAATAATTGTTCGTATTAAAAAATGTCAAGATTCAGTTTCGTATTATTGCTCCTTTTTATTCTAATGAGCTTTACTCTCATGGTCAACTCTCAACAAGTCAACCACTGGAAAGGAAATTGGATTTCAGATTATGTTCAAAATAATCCAAAATATTATCAAGCTTCCATCTCTGATTTGAAATGTTCTCAAGTTAAATTCATTTTGAATGTTAGTTCTGGAAGTGCTGTCAATGTCGCTGTGAAAAAGAATTCAATTCCAAGTTTTTCCGAATTTGATTACAGAGCTACAAGTGTTGAAAATGGAATTACTTATGTTTACAATGGATTAGACCAAATGAAAGATCAAATTTATGTTATTGTCAATGGTGCTAGATCTGCTTGGAATTTGTATTCTTTAAATTTTGAATGTTTCTAATAAAACTTTCGAATACCAACAAGATACTTGTTTATTTACAATCGTGATGTTCTTTCAAACTCAAAAACTCTGTACTCTGAAATGTTCTAATATTCACATCATCATCTTGAAAATTCATTGGATTTTCATGATGTTTACTCGATAACAAGTAACATTTCATTTTTCCTTTTCCTTTCACTTCCTGTTCTCTCTCTTCAAATTCAAAACCCAAATCGTAAACTCTTTCATAGGTTGTTCTGGAAATTTGAATTCTTCCTGGAACTCCGGTTGACTCCATTCTTGAAGCTGTGTTAATAGTATCTCCCCACAAATCATAGGCAAACTTTTTAAATCCAATTACGCCAGCTACTGCTTCACCTGTGTGAATTCCTGCTCTAATATTAACTGGTTTGTTAGTGGAAGCATTAGTTCTTCTTAAAAATGACATAATGTCAATTGAAAATGCCAACATCTTTTCTGGATGATCAGAAGTTTTGCTTGCCTGAAGTCCACCAACACAAAAATAAGCATCACCAATGGTTTTAATCTTGTCAATTCCATGAACTTCTGTCAACTTGTCATAACCCTGCACAATTGAGTTGAGCATTTGAACTAGCTCACTTGGTTGCATTCCAGAACTCATCGATGTAAAACCAACCATATCACTAAAAAATACACTAATATCATTGAATTTTTCGTACAGATTCGTCTCACCATTCTTCAATCGTGAAGCCATTGCTTGTGGCAGAATGTTCAATAATAAATCTTCACTCTTCTTTTTTTCTTCACAAATTAACAAATTTAGTTTCTTTTCAGGAGTTACATCTCTAATAAAGGCAATTAACATGGGTTTCTTATCGTAGGTTGTGACTGAAACACTGACTTTTGAGTTGAAGGTTGACTTGTTCTTGCGTAATCCAATAGCTTCGAAGGTATCACCTTTACATGTTGATTCTGAACTCATTAATTTGGTCAATCGAGATGAATATTCTTCTGTGAATAGAGTTTGAATTGCATCACCTAAAACATCAGCTCTTGCATAACCAAACATTTCCTCAGCGGCATTATTAAATATTGTAATACTTCCTTCTCTATTACAAAGAATACTTGCATCGACACCTCCATTGAGTACTGTTTTGACCATTAGAATGGATTCATCACCACATGTTGAGCTATCCTCTGAATGAATCTTATTGAGCTTTCCCATAATTTTTGTTGTAGTATTTGAAAATGAAACAGAATTGGACATGACATATTCCTTCAATAGGAAAGTGTTTTCAATCACTTCCATATTAAGATAATTCAATAGCATTCTCAAGCAGAATCGTTCCTTCCAAAAACTAAGTAAAGAATTGAAACACAATACTCCCATTACAATGATTACAATAATTGTAACAGAAATTGAAGTTGCTGTAATGTAAGTTTGAGCAGTTTTTTCATGAGCAACAAATTTAGATACAAATCCTAATAATTGTTGAGTCAATACTTGAGAAAGATAGAAAAGTCTATCAATATATCTTCTTGTCAAGTCACTTGTCGAATCAGATAGTTTAAAAGCTTCTTCATTCAATTCAGTAGCTCTAGAAATGAATTCAGTAATGAAATCATTCAATCCAAAACATAAGTTATCATTAGTAGTGTTTGCAAAATTCATTTCAATAGTATCATTACATGTATTACTCAATTGAGCATCAATATCTGAATATTTTCCAACCACTGCTGATTGATAACCAGATTTATCATTTCCCAAAATTATGGAATACCAATATTTTTGAATAGCTTGAATATCCGTTACACTTGAATCTCTCAATTGATTAAAAGTAGTCAATTGACTATATTTTGATCTTTGAATCATTTCATTAACTCTGAAATTAACACTTGAAACTCTATATAATACACTATTAATTATACTGAGATTATTCATTGAAAGTGAAGCTCTATCTGAATTTAGTTTATACTCAATGAGAATCAAAATAATACCCATACAAACTATTAGAATGGTAACACAACCTGATAAAATAATTAAACGATTAGGTTTCAATATGGATGAATTCAATGAATTCATGGTATCGTCCAATTTCTTATCAAAATTATGATAAATTTTTCCAATTTCATCTTTTGGAATCTTTTTGAATACGCCCTTAATTTCCATAGTAATTCTCTTAGTATGCATACGCATTACTAACAAGTAAGAAATTGCCAAAAATAGATAAACTACCATAACTGAACAAGAAGCAATTAATAAAGAATTGAAATTCTGATCCAATGAATCAACACTAGCATTCACAAATGTTGTACAAAATTTGTTAAATGCATTTGTCATGACCATTCTATTGTAATAGAAAAATAAAAATGGATAATTGTTATCCAAATGAGTTGTCAAAGTTTCCAAATCTGAAAATTGTAACAGAACATTTCTACCCTGAGCTAGAATAGTACCCATATAGAAAGATAGTGAAGTATTAGTTTGTGAATATTCAGGAATAATTGAAGTATTTTCAAGTGAATAATTCTTAATTGGAATGCTTACAATATATTCACTATTTAAATAGGCTTGGACTACTTCTGGAATTAGTTTACCATTACTTCCTGCACTTATTACTTCTTCTGTTAAATCTAACATGAGATTAGTTTGAGTATAGGTTGAATTTTTCATTTGAGGAGAAATGAAACCTCTCAAGGCATGTTCTGATTGGAGGGCTTTGATTTGTGAAAGCATCTTGTAAGGAACACCTGACATTAAGCATACTTTCTCTTGCATTGACATTCTAATATCAATGGTTGCAGAATAACTCAATGCCATTGGTGCAATGATAGCCAAAGCAATAATTGAAACTAAACTAATCAATAAGAAAGATAATGAATAAATCAAAGTATTCATAGGAGTATTAATAGCACTTCTAATGATATTATCCTTTCTATCTTCATTCTCTTCAGCTGCTGCACAACTAACCGAATCCCAATTTTCATCATTCATATATGAAGTATTGGTGATACTGAATCTTCTACTTGCTGATTCTGGAATTGGTTGTGGAATTTCACCTTTCATTGACTTTCGTCTAGATTTCAATATAATTTGTGCAGTTTTCTTATCTTCTTCAGCCTCTTGAGCTTCCTCATAAAATTCCTGAGCTAATTGGAATTCCCATTTATATTTTTCCAAATAGGAAGCATAAGATTTCAAAAGTGCCTTATTATTTCTACTCATATTCAATAAATTCTCATAAATCTTATCACATTCATTGTAAAGTACACAACATGTACGATTGATATTTTCCAATTTTGTAATTTTTGGCTTTTCATTCAATAATTCTTTAAAAAATGTTTTGTGAGCTCTTCCTAAAATTTTTACCTTTTTTTCTAAAGTTTCCAATCTTCTTAAAACTTCCAAATTATTTCCATGAAAGGCTAAATGTTCCAATTCTTCCATTCTTAGCATGATGTGAAATATTTGAATTTGATTGGGTGAATTCTTTGCTGCTTTTTGTAAACATGCTAAACCAAGTGCACATGCTTGACTTTTATCATATCCCTCCAATTGACCAAATGCAATAAACATTGAACAGGTAATTAACATTTCAGCAGATGACATGTTTTTTCCATTTTGTAAAACAAAATATTTTGCAAAATCAAAATCACTTCCTTCTAAATTTGTCAAATTTCTTGTTTGAGTTAATGAAAATCGAAGAAAGAGTGAAATTGAATTTTGTACATCTTTTGAATGTTCCAAATATTGTAAAGTATTACTTGTTTCTGATTTGTAATCCAATAATTTTCTAACATGTCTCAAATGTAAACTGGAATAAATATAGGAAAATAGACTTGCTAATACGAAACCAATTAAGGCTGCAATAAATGTGACACCTGTCAATGATCCGCCAATAATGTCATTTCCCTTAACAAAATGTAAAACTAAGGGAACAATTGGCGCCAAAATTTTAGAACCAACAATTCCCAAGAAGAAACAATTTTCCCATTTTCTAAAAAATGGAAATGTTCTAAACATTAAACAGAATACTACCATATTTAGAATAATCTTAATAATTGAGGAAATGAAGGAGAATTTTTCACTACAAATAATATTTGCAATGACACTTATTTGATTAGTGACAATTAATGAACAGAATGGATAAATTAAAGCAAGTGAAAAGAATGTTTTGTATGAAGTTGGTGGAATTGTTTCAATTGTTAAATAAATTCCAAAAATGGTAATTACTAAAGTTAGTATAATACCAATCACACCAACACAAGCAAATACAATATGTGGAGTATTAGTAAATGAAACAGATGGATAAAAATAGGAAGTCATATCTGAAATATTAGGAGAAAGTAATAAACTATGAATGTAAATTATAAAAATGGTAAAAATTCTATAAAAGATAACAATTGCTTGAATGATTTGTTTAACTATTGAAAAATTATTTTAAAAATTATTTAAATTTTAATACCCATTAAACAAACCTTTTTCATATAATTTACCTCCTTTTTTAGAAGCCCATCTACACCAATAAAATCCAAAAATAGTTGCAATTTCCAAAACTAGAAATAGTATTGATAATGTTACAATTGCTTCATATGGATAAAATTCACATCCAAAATTCATTGGAAAGAATAAAACTCTCCAAATCCATGCTGGAATATAACCCCATAATTTAGATTCGTCTTGTCTCGAATAAGGTATTGGAAATGACGAAACAACAATTGAATTATAAATTAAATAAATATGAAAAATTATCGCCCAAACAATTTTAGAAGTTGAATTATTCAAACTTTCTTTTGGACGAAATGTAATAATGATAGAATAAATATTAGAAAGTAAAGACGAAACTAAACTCTTTCCAGTCAGAGCTGATAATGAAGAACTTGAAGCAGACGAAAGTATTTGAGATGAATTATCAACACCTGTTACACTTCCCTCTTTTATTTCAGTTGACTCTGCTATTATCAAACTATTATTTGTAATGGTTATTGGATCAGTGGTGGTTTTAACTTTATACATTTTTTTGAAAGAAACTAGTTTTCAACTACAAATTATTATTCGAAAGAAGGTAAAGGTGTATGAAAATTTGTGTTTTTATTATTCGGTGAACTAATTTTTTGTACATTTTTGGATTGATTTCAAGAGATATTGTTTAATTCTGTGCTAATCGAGCTTTTTAAAACACAAATATTAAATTTTGCAATCTATAGAGTTGTCCTATTGTGATTATTTATACCTCAATTGGAAAGTTTTGATAGGTAGTGATTTATCTACAAACACTGATGGGTTCATAGAGATTCAGACCTCCAATATATTCTGAGCCATGAACACTATCTTTGAAAATTGATGGATAATTTGAGAAGATACTATTCGATTCATACAACTTTGAATCGTTCCAAAATTAAATAATTGATTAAGAAGTCTAAATCTTTGAAAATGCACAAATTTTGAATCAAAACAATCTCTTGTAGAATGAAGTTGAGAAATGAAGTTGCACATTCGGGGTGAGTTTAATATCGGCCAAGTCAAATTTGATCAAGTAATTTGAAATTAAAGAATACAAATATAAATTAAGGATCATTGTGAGAGGTTGACACAATCTTCTCTCTATCAAGATGAAGAATCAATTCATCATTAGGTTGGAAAATAAATATTTTTTTAATTTAGTGCATGACGACAAAATTTATTGTTTTTCATTGTTTGCAAACAGTTTTGATCGGAAAATAAAATATACCCAACCATGCAAGTTCATCAGAGGTTAACACACTTGTGGGGCTTCAAGTTTTATATTCAATTTTATGTGCCTCATTCGTGTTTACTACTCAGTACAGTGCTTTTTAATTCTATTGACAAAAATATTAATGTTGATGATGTCTATTGATGTTTCAGGAACATCCAAAACGTAAATTATATTCTCAACCCTAGAGAGAGAGAAAGGAAATCCAAGCACAAACATATATATTTAGTTTGTACTACACACATAAACTACACTTCAATCAGTCAACATTACATAAAACTACAATAATAGTTGAACTACTTCTTATTGAATTTGAAACAGATTTCAGAGAAAATCATAAAGAAAAATGGCAAGAATTCAACCCATTACCACTCTATCAAAAGGAGATAAAACAATAGATGAAGATTCGTCTGAAAGTTCAATGAATGAATTAGATTCGAATAGAAAATTAGTGTCCATTAAATTTTGCATTCTCTCCATTATTATAATAGCAGTAACATGCAGTGTATTTATTCAAAGTATTATTTGGATACTTTCGTTTAGTATTTCATTACAAGAAATGTCAGATTCAATAGTTTCCTTAAAACAGGATAAATTAATTTCATACGTTGATCAAACTTTTAATCAATTCGTGATTGCCTCTCAAACTGCCAAATATCAAATCATGAATTCATTCACCAATGTTTCAGATATCAACACTGCAGATTCCTCAATAGCTTCGTTTACTTTATCCGAAACTACTTTTCACAAATCCATAATGAAAGAATTGACAGTTTACAATTATGAAAGCAATGCCATTGGATATGTCATTAATGAACCACTCATCAAAGTTTTCATCTCACCAATTAGTGGAATTACAGTTAAATTATGTGTCATATTCCCAGCATGTCCAATTTATTTAGCAACTTTACCACCAACTTCTGATTCAGCTATTGCTAATATGATTTATAAGAAACCTGGTCAACCATTCTTTACTCATTTATATGAATTAAATGGTTTACCAATGAGATTTGTTGGTTTAGTCAACTCGAAGGAAAATTCACAAAGAGCTAAAGGTTATGATTGGTATTTGAAAATGGCAATTTCAGTTTCTGATTTGACTTTCTTCTTGAAGAATGTTACTCAGGGAGAGAATAGTGGTTCATTTGGATTGATTATTGAAACTAGTTCACAAATTGTAGTTGCAAGTAAGTTGATTGTAATTTGTTTTTGTAAAGTTTTTACAATAATTTAGCGAGCTATCCTGATTCATTCAATATTAGTACTACAGTTGATCAAATGGATGATAACAGTAGAAATTTATATCATTGGGTTAATCAAAGTTATCCAAATTTTCAGTTACCTTGCAATTCATTCGGTGATGTTTCGAATACGTTCTACAAAATTAGTGTTTACAGATATTGCACACAAACAGGGCTGGATTGGATATTTGCAGTAACCATTCCAAGATGGACATTTATAGGAAATATGGTCATTGCCATCATTGTTGGCATTGTTTGTGGTATAATGATAATTTTGGGTGGAACATTTTTGGGAATTTATTCCTCTTATAGAATTTCAAAACCATTTTGGAATTTAATTGAATTATTTGATAGTCTTTCAAGAATGGAATTGGATTTGGTAATTGTTCCAAGTAGATTTACAGAAATTTCTCAATTACAACAAGGTTTTTCACAAATGGTTACCAAAATTAGACAATATAGAGCTTTTATTCCATCCCATTTATTGAGTCAACTAGAACACACAGGTGATAATACAGCAGTAGAACAAGAAGCTGTTTCAGAATCCACTTATAGAAAATCAACAAATTCTGCAGCCAAATCCAAATATGGAATGTTTTCAAGTGTTGATTTGAAAAACTCATTAAGAAAATCAGTCTCAGATTCCAAATCATCAATGTTTAAAATTGGAATGGAAAGTAAGGATATTAGTGCTTGTTTAATTTATTTGGATGGAATTGAAGATTGGTTTTCAATTTTAGATAACAATGAAGTTATTAGATTGATGAGTGAATTATTTGAAATTTTACAACAAACAAGTTCAAAGTCTGGAGCATATTTGGGTAGTTTTGAAAATCAATCCATTGTAATATCATTGAATAGTGTGTCAGAAGTCAAACAACATTGTCAGAAATCATTATTATTCTCTTTTAAATTATATGATAGATTACAACAATTATCAAAGAAATGGAAGAATGATAGAATATTTGAACAAAATTCAGATTTAATTCAAAATTTCTCATTTAGAATTGCAGTTCATAGCCAAACTTCCAAATGTGGTAATTACGGAACTAGAGAATCAAAAGTTTTCACAATCATGTCAAGTTTATCACAAAATTTACAACGAATGATGAAACATGCAATGAAATTTAACATTTCATTCATAATTTCAGAAATTATTCATTCACAATCTGAACAATTCTCCTCTCGATTTGTTGGAAGAAAACAATTTTTATTAGAAACTAGTTGTTCACTCATTTCAAAGCAAAAAGGTCAGAAAATTAATCTATTCGAAATTGGTGAATTACAAGATACTTTAACAGATGAATGGATGTATGAATTGAAAGATAAGGAAAGAAAGAATCGATGGGTTGATTACAATAAGGCATTTTCATATTATTTACAAGAAACTCAATTAGAAGTTGCCAAGAATATTATGAAAGATTTTATGGAACATAATCCAAATGATTTACCTGCTAAATATCTTTACAAAAAGATTAAAAAGTTATTGAAAGAATAAAAAACTCATATTATATCATTATATAGAACAAGTATTAATACTAATCATTATAGAACAAGTATTCAACAATAATAAATAATAATTTGAATTCTTTACAAAAAAAATGCAACCATTTATTAATTTATGTCTGCAGGATGATAATTTTTTTTGTTTCTTCATTGCTGAATATTGTACTCTTCGGGAGGTGATCAATTGTTGGTCCAAATTAAATAGAAAAATAAGAAAATTAATATTTCAATCCGATCACTTTTGGAGGAGAAAGATTCAACAAGAATTACCATTCGGAGCCTTGGAAAAGATTGAAAATTGGAGAAGAGGTGAATATTGGAGTAGGGAAAATGAAGAATTATTTCAACAAACAACAGAGAAATTAATGAGAGAGAAATTAAATCAAGTTGATGATCAATTTGAGGAGGTTGATAAATGTGTGAGAAGAGCACTTTTAACATCAAGAAATGATATTTGTGCATTGATGATTAGTGTCTATTTTAATCATGCTTTTTATGATATTAATTATGGAAAGTGTTTTGGAGTGAAAAATGTTTCGGATTTTTATATTTTCTTTCAATTCTTTTATAGATTGATTAAATCTACACATGTACATCGTCTATTGAGATATATTAAAGACAAACCAGAAGATGTAGATACTACTAATATTAGAAACTCGTATATTTATTCGATATTGTTTAATAGTAATAATCCTCTTACTTCCTTTTTGGATATTGGATTCGATACTTGTAAAAAACCAACGGAAGATGAAAATTACAAATTTTCCTCTTATTCCTATAATGTAGAATTGGTCAATGAACGATATAGAACTGAACAAATCAATTTTGATCCATTTGTGAAAATTAATGAAAATACTAAACAAGTAGGATGTTATGTTTATAATTATAATGCTGCATATCCTTATTTGACCACCAATTATGGAACTGATCTGTATCTTCCAAAAGATTACCCTAAATTATTGAATGAATTTGAAAAACTGTTTGTGAGTCATTTATTTAGAACAAGTATTGTTCGTCCATTCCTCACAAGAGTATTCTATTTATATAATCAAGAAAATAATCCATGGTATCAAGGAAGAAACATTCTCAATACACCATATTCCATAAGATTATATTTTCAAAAACGAGTTCAAAAATCAATCGATTTCATTTACAAGAAATTGAAAAACAAGCATACTTCATGTCATGTAGATTTATCAATCTATCCAACAAGAGAAGAAATGGAACATCTCTTCAATGAGAATGTAACAAAAACAGCTACTCTATTGGAAGATCCATACATACAATATTCTGAAATGTACTTTAACTTGATGAAAAAGATGTGGAATAGATATAAAAGTGTGAAATTTCATAAGGAGAAACTATTTATCAGAGCTATTGATAAATGTTTCAGAAGATATATTAATCTATTCATTCTATCTCAACCAAGTTATATATTCTTTACCGAAACAAGAATTTCAAGTAAGTATACTCGATATATTTATCAATTCAATCATTTATAATAGTTGAAAAAGTGGAAAATAGATCGTGTGATATTATTTATTTTGGAATTGGATTATTATTGATACCGTATATTACTGAACTTGTGGAATATAAAATTTCAAATACTATAGAATCCAATGAAGAAGATTATGAACATATTTGTAAAGTTATTGAAAGAATGAGTACTCAATTAGGATTTGCAAATATTCCTTTCATTAGTAAACCATGATTTTCTTTAATTTTCATTCACTATCATAATGGATGAACCATTAACTTATTAACTTGACAGAAAATTAATATATTTAACCAGAATATTAACACAAATATTGGGAATTCACATTAATCTTCTCATTACTTCAAGTCTTTTTTTAGATTTGACAACTTCGGAATTGCAAGCGAGACGTGTGCTAAAGTAAGTCTAAAAACAACCTCTTCATAATACACCTGAGACTCAGCTTGGGCAAAAATGAGGCTTCCTTCTAACGAGATTGATTTTGTAAGCTGCTAACAAGAAGCTAGGCTTGCTGTCTTTACACACAAAAAAAAACGATCGTTCATCTAAGTAGACATTAACAGTGCAGGCAATCAACAACGTCTGATAATACTCTATCAACATCATCATCATTATTTCTAGTACCGAGCATATCATAATTAAAGGAAATGAGCACTTCTAGCAACGTACCACAAGGCAAGCAAGATGACAACAAGATTCAAGTTTCTGCTACCAAACAATCTCTCTCCTTCTACGTTTATTTGTCCAAGAAATTCTTGAAGAATAACGAAGAGATTGAACTTAGTGGTTTAGGTAGTGCCATCAATACTGTTGTTTCATGTGCTGAAATCTTGAAGAACCAAAAGCTCGCTACTATCTCAAAGATCCAAACTTCTACTGTTCCAGTGTCTAGTAAAAACGAACAATCCTTCCAAAAGGCTAAGATCCAAATTTATTTGAAGAAGACTGCTGGTTTTGATGCTATTATTCAAAAACAAGAAGAGGAACAAGAAGAGAGAAAGAAACAAAAGGAGCAAAAGTAAATCCGTTGTTGTCTATTTGACACGTTAACGTATTGTCAATAAAGAAGATCGTACGTTTAAAATCATGAACAAATTTTAGAATTATTTTGATGATCAAAATGAATTCTTTTAATAGTTTTAAATCATCATCAAATGAATTTCAATTTTATCATCACTCTCTATTTGATTATCGATAATAATACATTGCAAATACTCTTGAAATTAAATGATTTTGAGCAGTTTTTAAAGTAATGATGATAATTGATAACAACAAACCTTCTTCCTTCAAGGCCATCATTCAGAATAGGCTACTCTGAAAACTTTCAATATTACTTTTTAAAAAATAAATAAATTTTTAATTGTACAAAAAAAAATATTTTGAAAACCCGTGCGCGAAGATGTCTACCAGATTTGCCCTGAAAGTTTTTAATTCCTTGAAAACTACAGCCAAGTATAGATACTTGAGTGATTTACCTCCTTCAATTACTTATCCAATCAATACTCATCCAAAATTCCAAGAAATTCTTCAAAAGAAGCTCGACAATGCTTCTCATGTAGAGGAAACTCAAGAATCTAATCCAAATGTTGCTTCTAGAAAAAGTACAAGCGAACGTGTTTTATTAAAACCAGATTTTAATATCAAAGTAGACTTGCCAATTACCTCATCCACAGAAACAACATACACAACAGGTAAACACACCGGAACAAAACTCACAAAAACAATTGAACATGAAGTTGCCGACCTTGAAAACTTCTTCAACATTAACAAGGCTGCACCATTCACTGGCTTTAATATGGAAAATTATCAACTCATTCAATCAACAATTCCATCAGAAACACTTATTAGTATGTTTAAATCTCACAAAAAGTCTCCTACAGCTACATTAACTGCTGATGAATTGGTTGAAAGAATTTTTGATAGTGAGGAATTCCGTGTTTATAAGGAAAAATTAGACCAATTTATCACTCAAAACAATATTGTTAGACCTTCATATGATTTCCTCCATAATATTCCTATTGAATTAGAACTCCAAAGCTCTATCCACCAAAATCATACTCCTCTCCTTAACTGGCTCAACGAACAATGGAATGTTATTGTTAACTTTAAACAACAATTACAATCCTTCCATAACGAATATGTTAATGGACATTTCACACAAACAACTTCATCAAAGGATGAAGCTAAACTTCTCTCTGAAACTTTTAACAAATTAGAAGAAGTTAAAGTTTTGAGAATGTCTTTGCATTACACTGCCGAACAATGTTTTACTACTAGATTGAGCCAAGTTGAACAAACTTTACAAAAGATTGTTGCTCTTTCTACTGAAGTTCAAACAACAATGTTGAATAAGACCAAGACTAAATATCCACAACTTTCTCCTTTGGTTGAAAAGCTTTCTGCCTTCTTGAAGATTCGTAGTGAATTTTTGACTGCTAATCCACAAGCTCATCTCTTCAGTCTCCAAAGTAATATTGTTAGTGATATTCAAACTCGTTATCAACAAGAACAAGGAACTCCAGACTTTATGGAAATGGTTGGTTCTGCATTTAAACAATATAAGAGTCAAATTACTCCAATCTTTAGCGTTGAAGAATACAATAAGTTCAAGACTAACATTTTGGATAATATTGAAAAGTTGGATAATGATACTTATGGATTTTTACAAACACAATTGGAAGCATTCAGTACTGATGCTAACTTTGATATTAGAGTATTCGAAGAAGCTGAAAGTGAGGATTCACTCTTCTCTAATTATCTCCAACAAAAGATTAAGGAGCAATTGAGAGATGGTAAATCACCATTCAAAGCTATCTTTAACCTTGAAAACCTTACTTCAATTGTTAGTCATGCTAGAGCTTCCCGATCAGGACCAGAACTCAGAGAATTGTTGCCATTCTATCAATCTAAATATGTTGCTGAAACAAGACTTCCAATTCACCATATTTCTACTAAATTCTCATATGGTTTCGGTCATGATGGTATTAAATATCCAAGAGATAAGATTGTTAAACTGACAGTTAGACTTTCTGATATTGATTTCACTTCTGAAATTGCTAGACAAAACTTTATCAAGATTGTTAAGGGAGACATGAAGGCTAAATACAAGAAGAGATTCAGTGATAACAAACAATCAGTGACATTGATCAGTGGTATTTATGATACAAGAAAGGAAAATATTAACTATTTACAAAACTTGTTGGTTGAAATGGTGAGAGCTGCTGAAAGCTTTGATACTCTCATTACTGATGTACCAACTATTGAACCAGTTGAATCTAAGGAACAAGCTGAATTGAGATTCAAGGATGAAGATGCTAAGGCTGAAGTTGCTCTTGAAGCTTGGGTACGACACAAGAAGGCTGGTAAGATTACAGTCGGTGCTGATTTAACTTGGGGTGAAGGTGTCAAGGAAGAAGTCCAAGAAGAAGAAGAAATTGTGGAAGATTACGGTTATACATCATATAGTGCTGACGATTTGAAGGACATTGATTTTGAAGAAAATTTAATGGAAGAAGAGGAAGAACCTGAAATTGAAGAACCAATTAAGGGAAAGAAAAATAGAAAGTAAATGTATTAAAAATAATAAATAACTATTTGGTTTTTAAAGAAGATTCTTTCTTGTTAACATATTGAGTATTTCTTGTGTAATGATTGAAAATTCATATCTTGGGCAAGTACTATCAAATACACAGAATAGAACACTTTGATTCTTTTTGAATGCACTGATGGCAAGTTCTTTCGTTATTACATAGGTTTCATTAATATCTACATTGAATTCATCTCCTTGTGGTTGAAAGATGTCAAACACTGTCATCATTGAGTTGATGTAAAATTCTCTTAGGGAATGTTCAATTTTTTCATATAGAACCATATCAGTATCACTATTTACAAAGTTTTCATAGAGATAATATGGGAAGGATCCAGAATTATTGAGAAGTAACATTGCCTTCACCTTTGTTAAATGAGTAACTTCACTCAAAACCTCATTCTTTTCAGAAATATCATAAATTAAAGATAATATAGATTTTGTCATTATATTACTCAATCGTATAACAGCTTTTGCCCATTCATCTCCCTTAAATTGAATTACATTTGAAATATCAGATGCCTTGGTATCACCATAAACAATTGCACAATATTGAATATTATCAATCAATTTGATTGAGATAAACCTAGTTGCAATATTTTCACGTACAATGATTGGTATATCTCTAGTGGTAAAATCATTTTGTGAATGAGCAAGTGCATTCATATAAACAGATATTGCAGTCATTTGTTGTTGATTGAGAATCTTATGCCATTCCAAACCTGTATAATAATATCCAGAATTAACATAAATAGCTGAACAAAATATTCCATTTTTAAAAGTGGAATGAAGAGAGCTCATTAATTTTTGAAAACTAATTTCATTATCCTTAACTTCTGGAAATTTAAATATTTTTCTACCAGGTCTTAAACATAACTGTTCAAATGGTTGATGTAAATATGAATTTAGAGATGGTGTTTCTTTTAAATCATTTTCAAAATCAAATGATTTTTTAATAGAATAAGGTGTAGATGATTGTAATAAATAAGTAATTATATCAGTCATTGAATTTAAAGTTATTTTAACTTGAGGTATTTTCTTTGCAACTTTATCTGATGATTGTTTTGTTGTAATTGATGATAATGTACTCTTACTAATAAATAAATAAATTATTGATTCTAATATTTTTAAAAATGTTTCATTACAAAAATGTTGAAATATGACATTTGACTTTTTAACTGTTTGTTCTTCACTTTTTTCTTCACTATTTAAAACATCAGCAACAATTAATAACATTGACATGGAAGGAGGATTATGATACATTGGAAATTTTAAACTATTTGTAGTTCCATGATGATGATGATTAACAGTAGAAGAAGTAGAAGATGTAATAACATCTTCAGGATCAAGAATTGGTAAAAAAGTAATACAAGTATTTTCACTTTCCATTACCATTACTTGATGAGTACATGATGAAAATGATCTAATAAATGTTGTATATAATAAACTAGTATGTGATGTATCTGGAAGTAATGATTGCATTGAATGTGTATCACCCGATAATTTAGACATGTTACTTTGAAATTCAGAAAAGAATGATGAAAAAGTTGGAAGTGATGATGAAAATGATATATTTTGATGATTCATTATATCATGATCAGCCATTCCTCTTTTTAATAATTCTGTACAATTACAATCCATTACACAACACCATCTTTTCATTTTTTTTTAAATATATTATTATTATATTATATATTATATATTATTAAATAATTGGAATAATTAAATTAGATTAATATTAATATTAAAATATTAATGATAATAGTGATCCGATTCTATTCATATTATTAGTATTTTCATCTTGATGCTGATAAATTCCATTTTTTGGAATTCCTTGCTCAAGTATTTCCTACCACAAGAATATCTCTACAACATGTTTTGGCAAGTTTCTCAAAATAACTACATTCCAAACATTCAATTCCAAACAAAAACTCTCTTTTATATTATTACTAAGAGTTTACATCATTCTCGTACTAAACTACAATTGTTAGAAGAATAAGAAGAAAATAACAATCATCAACAAAGCCTTTGATAAATTTTATTTGTTTTAAATTGCCTTCTAAAAAAATATTCAAAGTAAAAAGTTGTGCTTTTTCGCGTAAGATTGTCATCATTGTAGATTTGTCATCAACACGGCAAGGTAAAACGGAATAACGCAAACAATACTTTATTGAATATATATACAAATAATAATATCATTATATAATAACAGAAACGTCGATTAAAAATGTTTAATTTTGGTGGAGGTACTAATACTGGTGGTGGATTTGGAGCACAACCAAACACTGGTGGTGGTGGATTCGGATCAACAGGAACAACAGGAGGTACTGGTTTTTCTTTTGGTACTGGTGGAAATACAGGTGGTGGATTTGGAGCACAACCAAACACTGGTGGTGGAGGTTTTGGATCAACAGGAACAACCCAAAATACAGGATTTAGCTTTGGTTCTCAACCATCGACAAATACTGGTGGCTTTGGTGGAATGAATAATAATACAACTGGTGCTTTTGGTCAAAATAAGCCTTTTGGTACAACTGGAGCTACAAATACAGGTTTTGGCTTTGGTAATACACAAACACAACCACAACAACCACAACAACAAGGTAATACATTTGGTGCATCTGGTAATCCTTTTGGTGGAACCACTGCAACTAACACTGGATTTGGAGCACCATCCACAAATACATTTGGATCAACAGGAACAACCACAACAACAGGTGGCACAGGATTTAGTTTTGGTTCTCAACCAAGTACAGGAACAACAGGTGCATTTGGTGCATCCAATCCATTTGGTGGGACTACTGGAACAACAACAGGTACATTTGGTTCTACTCAACCAACAACAGGTACAGGCTTTTCATTTGGATCTCAACCAACACAAAACACTACTGGTGGAGGTTTATTTGGAGCTCAACCAACACAAAATACTGGAATGGGATTCGGAGCAACTAACACCACAGGTATGGGTATGGGAAATACTGGTGGACCAATTACTCCACAATCTTTCCCATCATTTAAGCCAACTGAAGAAAACAATACTACTACAAATTCAAAGATGATATACTATTCGATTACTAAAATGGATCCTTACAAGGATAAATCATTTGAAGAATGGAGATGGTATTTCACACTTGCATCTCAAGGAAAATTAACTCAAAATCCATTTTCTACTCCAACAACTGGTACCACAACTGGAGGATTTGGACAAACAACTCAACCATCTACAGGTTTCTCTTTTGGAAATACTGGAACAACAACAACAACAACAAATACTGGTTTTGGAACGACAGGAACTATGGGAGGTGCTTCTAATACTGGCTTTGGTTTTGGAACTCAACCTACCACACAAACAGGATTTGGTACTACTACTAACACTGGATTTGGTAATACAACTACAGGTGGATTCGGTTCTACAACATCTGCATTCGGTAATAAGCCTGCCACAACTAGTACTGGCTTTAGTTTTGGATCACAACCAACAACAGGAACCACTGGAGGATTAGGCTTTGGATCACAACCAACAACAGGAACTGCAAACACTGGTTTTGCATTTGGATCTAGTAATACAGGAACAGCTAACACTACCACTGGATTTGGTGCTTCTCAACCTTCTTCAGGATTCAACTTTGGAGGTGGTTCTACAACTCTTGCACCTATAGGAGGAACAACTAATACAGGAACCACAGGCTCTGGCTTCAATTTTGGTGGTTCAACACAACCAACAACTGGTGCAACTAATACTGGTTCTGGTTTCAATTTTGGTGGCTCAACACAACCAGCTCAAACATCAAGTGGATTTAATTTTGGTACTGGTACAAGTGGATTTGGTGCAACAACTGGTACAACAACTACAGCACCATCTACTGGTTTTAACTTTGGTGGTGGTGGATTGGGCGCAACTGGACCTGGTACTACAACTGGTAGTGGATTTAATTTTGGTACAACTGGAGGTAACACAACTGGTTCATCTGGTTTCAATTTTGGTGGCACTACTACTCAACCTCTTGGAGGAACAAGTGGTTTCAATTTTGGTGGACCTACTGGTGTTGGACTTGGCATGACAACAGGTTTTGGTGCTCAACCAACCAATACCGGATATGGTGTTGCTCCAATGGCTCTCCAAGATCTTAATAATCTCTTGGCAGATCCATTTGGTACTAATCCTCTTTTCCAACTTCAAAAGGAAGCACTCGAGCAAAGCTATGCCCAAGAAGAAGAATCTAGTGTTATTTCAAAGTCTATTCAAAAGACATCAACTCAAGTTAGACCAAGAACTTTCAAAAAGAGCTCTAATAGTACATTGGTTGACAGAATGTCTTTAATTGCTTCTGATACAGAACCTGTAACATTGGACTTGCTTGATAGTAATTCATTTACTTCTAAGGAAAATGTTAAGGAATTGACAATTTCTTCTGCTGTTTTTGATAAGAGATCAAGTCAACAATTGAATCAACCAAGATCTACTGGTACAACTATAGAAAGAGATGATTCTCAAAAAACAATTAGTAGTAATGCTATTAGACCAAAACCTCAAAAGGGTAAAGGTATTTCTCTTGATATTGAACAAGCACCAAAGGAAACAACTGTTAAACCAAGCTATTTACCAAAGTTAACAAAGGAAGGATATTACACCAAGCCATCCTTTGAACAAATGAAGCAAATGTCTCAACACGACTTGCAAAATTGTAATGGATTCACTGTAGGAAGAAAAGGATATGGTGAAGTTGAGTTCCTTGGAGTTACTGACTTGACTAAGAATTTGGATTTGGATAAAATTATTTACGAGATTGAAACTCATCATGTGGAGGTATATAGTAGCAATGTATACACAGAAAGGACCAAACCTCCAGTTGGAACTGAACTCAATAAGCCAACCATCATTAAATTGTTCAATGTCCATCCAAAGAACAATGATTACAAGCAATTTGAAAGAAAGTTGAGAAAAGCCAATGAAAAGTCTGGTAGTAGATTTATTGACTATGAAACCGGACAATGGACATTCAAAGTTGAACACTTTACCAAGTATGGTATTTTTGACGACGAGGAAGAGGAAGAAATTATTGAAGATGAGGAGGAAAAACAAGAACCATTTCAAGTTGTGAAAAAAATCAATCTTGATGAAATTTCGGATACTTCAGAAGGTAAGATATTAATTTGTAATAATGAAACAAATTAAACTTTCTTTTTTAACATAATTAACTCTATTCTGCACCAATTCAGATGAAATTGTTGATGAGGAAGAAGTTATGGATAATGATGAGGAAGAAGGAGAAGATGTTATGCAAATTGAAAGTCACAGAACATTTCTTCCAAGACAACTTAATTTAGATCCAAGAAGAATGTACATTATGCAAGCAAATTTAATGACTGATGATGAAGCTGCTGATGATAATAATATCGATTTTGAAGCTATTAGACAAACTAAGAAACCAAGATTTAAGGAAATTTCTGAATCAGAACCAACTTTAGCATTTATTAAAAAGGATGCTCCAATCCAACAACCAACAATCAAACCAAGAAAGTATATCGACAGTACTCCATCAAATATTGTTGGAGATGCAGAGGCAGAGTCTGACAAGAGAGATTCATTGTTTTCATTGAGTCGATCATTTAGAGTGGGATTTTTACCTAATGGCCAATTTATTGTACCTACTATTGTATTTAATCCAAAATCAAAAGTTTCCAATATTTCAGTGTCAGAGTTCTTTGTAAAAGAAGATAAGCAAGTACCACAAAATCAAGATGAAGAATATCTTAAACTCAAATATGAATCTAAGGTTCACTTGGAAATTGAACACGTTGAAAGAGATCCTACTGATGTTCATATTTCTCTCAAGAATAATTCATATACAGCATTAATGGAAGGTCACGTTCAAAAATGTGAAAAGATAATTAATTCAGTTGATCATTATCACTTCTCTGATGCTACTAAACAATTGATTGTTAATCGTGAAAAGTTTGAGTTGAGTGTATGGAAGCTTGCTAATTTACTTTTTGGTGATGTTGATATGCTTGATGGTAATAATTATGCAACTGATATTGCTAGAAAGAGAAATTTGAGTGCTTGGATTCGTGAACAAATTCCAATTGATGAAATTATCAATAGAGCTAATCCAAAACCATTGGAAAAAATTTACTTGTTGTTATCTTCTGGAAGAATTGCAGAAGCTGCTAGAGTTGCTCTCGATAATAAGGATGTGAGACTTTCTTCAATCATTTCTCAATCCTTCTCAAATCCTTTCATGCAAAAGGATATTCAAAAACAAATTAATTTATGGAAACAAGCAAAAGCTAATATTGAAAAGGATTTGATCAAAATTTATGAACTCTTAGCAGGTAATGTTTGTGATACTTCTCTAACATGGCTTCAATGTTTGGGTTTGCATTTGTGGTATAAGAGTTCTCCAGATACAACAATTAGTGAAGTTTTCTCTAGTTATACAAATTATTTTGAAACTTTTAGAGCCACTAAACCATTTTTATCATCATCTAGACATTCATCAGAGACACATTATGATTTGAGGTATCATATTTTAGGAATGTATTGTAAAAAAGAAATACCAATAAGTTCATCTTTAGAACCATCCACTTATATTGATGATATTTTAGATTGTCAACTTACATGGCATTTGTATAATGTATTGAGACGTGTTACAAGTTGTGATACTACTGGATCAATGTCACATATTATCACTTGTAATTATGCTCTTCAATTAGAACAATCTGGGTATCCACAATATGCCTTGTTTATATTGTGTCATTGTGATTTAATGCCAAATATTTCAGATGATATTAATAGAGAATTGAATTACCAAGACAAATCAAATAGTCTTGTTTCTAAATTCAAGAGAGAAAGACTCATTGATGTTAGAAATAGAGCACTCAGAGAAATTCTCTTTAGAAATTATCCTATTCTCATGTCTAATGAATCAGGAATGAAATTCATCTCTCAATTACAAATTTCTCCTAATTGGATATATGAAGCTGCAGCTCTTTATGCTAGATATACATGTTCCTATCATTTATTATTTGAAAATTTGTGTCTTTATCATAATTATATTGAAGCTCACAATGTTTTCCTAGAATATATTCTATCTGATCTTTTACTTTGTAACAAGTATGAAGAACTTTCTAAATATGTTCAAAAGCTTTATAATCATCAAGATTTGATTCCAAATTGGAGTAAGGGAGGTGATATTTTATATAGATATATTTGTGTGAGAAAACAATTTGAAGATCTTGAAGCACATGTTGAAGGAAATTCAACAATTTTCACCGAGTCATCCAATATTAAATCAACCTATGATGCATTATGTAGATTGGATATTCAAATTACAGAATTATTAGATCTAGTTAAACATTTAACTCTTTACACACTTGAACATCGTGTAGCTGTTTCAGATACAACTGTAAAGATTACTAACATGATGGTTAAGGTTAAATCCTTATTGACGGTTTATGAAGCTGATACAGATTATATTGGTATGATACAAGAAGATAGATCCAATCAAAAGGAACAATGTTTATTTAACATTGCAAGTGTTACACAAAATATTTACCTTACCAATCAAATTGATCTTTTACAAACATTAGCTCTTTCAACTACATTTAATTTACAATAAATTCAATCAATTTATATTAGATTCATTATAGTGATATATTATATCTTTACATTACTCAGCATTATTATCAGTTTATTGTTGTTGGTACAAGTTGCTTTTTGTTTTCATACTTTTCCATCAGTAATTTCTTCATTTTGGAAATTTCAATTGAAGCCTTGATCATTCCTCTTAATTTTGGATTGGCCAATGTAATTGGTGATTGTTTCTCATTATTCTCCTTCTGTATAATTTCAATTAATTGTTGTGTTGAAGATTGTGTTGATATTCTATCTAGAAGAAACAAGGCTATCTTCTCATGACTACATTTACAAGCAATATGAACAGGTAGATTATTATTCTCATCACAAACAAGTAGTAGTGATGGATTTTGTTGAATGAAGAGTTTTACTTGTTCAAAATCATTCCTCCTAATACTATCAAATATGAACATTGAAGAAAGGCTTGTTTGCTCCGAGGATGCCGATGATTGAGAAGTGTTATTTGTTATTGATGGTTGACTGCTGTTTGGTGATGACATTTTTTTTGATTTTCCACCTTTCAAGCCTTTCATTTGTGTTCTTTAATCATCTAGCCATCAACGTTCAATAAGGCTTTGAAAAAGTACAATACAAAAAAAAGCCTTTGAACTCTCTCACATTACTCTCTGTAATTTTGTATTTCCTCCTGTCAAAGGCTAAAAAGTTTGAACAGCAATAATAATAATAATATTGAAAAAAGGATGTTTTTTATGAGTGAAAGAGGACCTATTAATAATGATGGTCCATTATTTGATTTGATCAAACAATTAGAATCATCATCATCTTCATTATCCGAAATAACATTAAATATTGATGTGATTGATCAATTTAATGATGATTTTAATATTCAAACAAGATTCATTCCACATCCATTCCCTTCATCAAGCATCAAATCACAATTTTTAAATTTATTATTTAAATATTTACAACAAACAGAATCGAATAGTATGAATACTAATAATACTAATAATAACAATAATAATATAGAATCAGGTTTAAATGTACTTCGTTTATTATTGAGAGAATATGATGGATTAGATTCAATATTAAATATTCAAGTCATTGAATTTATTAGTAAATTATTGATCAAATACACTTTGGAAAGTACATCAACAACAAGAACAACCAAACTATTCGAAACTATGAATTGTACTTTTAAATGTTTATTAAATTTAATTCATCATTCATCAGAGTTGAGAATATGGTTATGTAATAGTGAGGAATTTAAATCACAATTAACTTTACTAATTGAAAAGATATTTGAAAATGTAAGTTTCTTATTTAAAAGAATAATTTGATTAGAAATTTAAAAAAGGAAAACTTTGAAGAACACTTTTTATTTACAAGATTATTATTTTACATGACATTTGAAAAGGAAAATGCTAAATTATTTATCAAGGAAAATATTACAATATTATTATTGGTTATTGAAAAGGCTTTTCATTATTTTTCAAATTGGATTGAAAATCATTTAAACAAATATGGTAATATCTATAATGAGGATCAACGTGAATTTCTAAATCAAGATAATTTTATACAAGTTGAAAAGAATTTGAACATGTCAATTTCATCATTTACATTTAAACCATTCTTTTTAAGTTTTATTGAAGATTTATTTAAAACTAGTTATTGTTTATCTGTTCATTTAGAAAAGGAAGAATTACAAGAAATTTTAAATTGGTATGTTTTTTAATTATTTTTATTATTTAAATATATTTAACTAACTATTTAAATGTATTTAACTATTTAATTATATACTTAAATTATTAATTTAGTTTTAAACCACTTGTTCAAAAAACAATTCATCTCTTTACATCACTCTCTGTTCATATAAATATTAGATCAAGTGAAATTTATAAAAAATCAACAACTAGTGATGATGATAAAGAAGATGATGAAGATTTACTCTATCACATGATAAATTTCAAATCTCAATTAAAAACTCTAATGAAACATACTATTCAGAATTTGACAGAATTTACTACTTTACAAAAGAAGGAAATTTTATGTCTTGTAGATTCTAATTCTAATTTAATACCAAATAAGGCAATATTATATGCTTTATTAGGTGAATATATTAATTATAATGTAGATTCAGATTTATATACAGATTATTTAACACCACTTGTTGGAATATTTATAAATTGTATTAATTTCTCAGATGAAGAAACACCTACATTGGGAAGTGAATTTAGAATAATATTTTGTGATTGGATATTTGAAAATACAAATTGGATATTAAATACACCTCCTCATATACCTGATTATGTACAAGAATATATTGAACAAAGAACAAGTAGAAATCAACAACATGAACATGAAGAAGAACAAGAACATGATGAAGAAGATATAGAAGATAATGAAGATAATGAACAAGCAAATAATCAAACTAAAATTGATGCATTAGATGCAATTGATTTATCATTTAAACCAGTGAAATGTTTATTTGTTGGAAGAATGTCAGATTATAATTATAATTTCAAAACAATGATTTGTCAATTCTTATTCAAGTTATGTATTGAAGATGTTAATGTATTTAGTCAAATATGTGGTCCTGGAAATACTTTGGGTTATTTGGCAGAGAAGGGTTTACTTGGTAATTTATTAGGTCAATAAATTTATTTTAATACTTGCTATAATTACTTTGAATTGGAATTGGAAATGATAACTCCGTCCTACTAGTCCATTAATTGACATTTATAGTAATTGAGATGTTATGGTGTTAGAACAATAATATAAAAACTAGTTCGAATCAATAGTTCCACTCGTATCATAAATACATC